GGTTGTGCTGTGTAACGTTGGCGGGTATGCTGGGATTTTCGGATGAGGCATTCGAGTTCTCGAATGTCTGCTGTCATGTCTGCATTGGAAACATTGTTATAAAGCCATTGCAAAAGTCGTGCCCGCCACGCTGGTTGTGCCCGCTCAATGTCAGCCTTGACACGACACCAGTTACCCGAAGCAGCTTCATGAAGAAGGCGATGGAGTGAGGTACGAATTATGAGTTGGGGACCTGGACGAAGATCAATAGCAAATGACGGATATACATATATATCGTCACAAATAGAACTGCCCGGTAAACCGTAGGCAGCGAGAGAGAAGAGGACAACAAACAAGGGGCTGTGACAAACTGTTTCGTCGGAGTTTCACCGACTCATCAGTGCATTTCCAATTTGGTAAAGAATTCCGACGTGACCCTGACGCAAAAGTTGTTCAGTTCTTTTTTTTTTTTTTTTTTTGGTTGCAGAGGGTGGATGCCAGGCCTCAGGAGGTGCCCGTAGTACTCGTCCATTGGGAGGTCAGATGGATTGCGAGGACGCAAAGTAGTCACCCCCAGGTGGCACCATGATGCCATGACCTGTGCTAATGCTCAGATCGCAAGTCGTGATCTGCGCAAACGCTTACCGGACTGACCCGAACGTTTTCGTGCAGATACTACCCCAACTCTAATGTTAAGGACGGCCCGGGCACAGGTGGGGTCCACGTATATATGGTCATCCCCCATCTGTGCCTCATCCCGCAGACTCTAAGGGAAGCGAACCACCCTTCTACTAAGATGCGATATCCCGCCCTCCTCTATCCTAAGCATGGTGCCTTTCCTGCCCAAGGCTCCCCAAGGATTCACAATCCCAACTAATTCCCCAAATGCGAATTCCCACGTTCACCAGCCTGGATGAAGCACCACCCACAGGCAACTGAGATACCTGTGGGATGAAGAAGTGCCCAGCCCCTACCCCGTACTAACAAACAGTGAGTGTGTAGGATTATCCCCCACAAGATGGGCCCTGCCATAGTCTATGTTCGCTCTGTGTAGACTCTCGTACGGGTGCCATAGCGACGGGAAACGTACAAGCCATAACCAGGCTTCACCATGGCACCCCCACGAACTAGTACAGACTGACGAAGCTGACAGATCGGAGGGTCCAAGTCGCCACGCAGAGGTATCAGGATTCCGATAGTGTTTATAGAGGGCCAAGGGCCCTATCAACGACTCTATTGTTATAGTTATCGCCCAAGGGGGTGTGTGTGAATGGCTTGTGCGCTATGAAAGCGCTGCCGGTGTACGTGGGCGAGCCTGCAACGGAGTTCTGAACCCGCAACCTGATCCCACAATGCGCATTTCCAACCGGTGCTCTAACCACTGAGCCACCGGCCATTCACGTTCAGTATATTTTTCTGCATAACTGAGCTTTTTTTTGAGGATTTTTTGGACTTGTTTTTTTTTTTTTTTTGTTGTTTTTTGCTGGGACCTTCCCTGGCTCTTGCCCGGCCAGGCCACCTTGTGGCCTGGTTGGTAGCCCAGACACAATGTGACTTCTGCCCAGTGCTAAAAAAGCCAAAAAAAAAAAAACAAAAAAAAAACGTACTCACTTTCAGACTTCTTTTCCAGGAGGAGAGATTGAGTGGGCAGGTGTGGGCCGAGGGAGGTGTGTTTCAGAAAGATGATTTCCTGCAGTCTGTCATGCAGATCGTCAAGATAGTTGCCTGGCGGAACCCGAGTCCATTGCATTCACATAGCGCAGGGCTTCTTGGCGATACCGCCTGATGGCGTAGCTTGCTTTCCAGATTACAAGATACGCGACTCCACATAATAAATGCATTCCCCTAGAATGCAACGCATGGGATCTTTGATTCTCCTGATGACAATACTTGCAACACCATGCACTACACTTAAAAAGAAGATTGCACCAGTCCCAAGACATCAGCGGGACACTGCTGCCAGAAAGAGTGCACACCATGTCATGCCATTACTCGCTATTGCGTTGTGAGTCGGAAAAAAAATAAAATAAAAAATTTCACGCCATGTAAGCAGGCAGACAAGCAGGCAGATCAGCAATTGTCCCAGCTGCAGCATACATATGAAGAGTGGAATATGTTCCACATAACATTTAGAGCAATCCATGAAAAACAACAAAAACAGACGTTGAGGAAAGGGCGACCTACTTACATTTGAAATACGGCGCCTTCCATCTGATCACCCTCTCAGTCCAGTCATCAGGGAGAAACATGGCCAGGGTTGGAATCATCGTTGCTCTGTAGAGGGGGCGGGGGAGCGCAGGGAACAGCAATCACCAAGAACAAAGACTGTGTTAAAATTGCCCAGGCTGTGTGCTACTTGCACCTGCACCTGGATTAAGAAAAAAGGGTGAAACAACCGTAACAACGTTTTTTACACCACCACTCCTCCTGCACCTGTTTCCACGAAACCGGTTGGTTTTCCCCACACTGGAGCACAGGACCTAAAAAATTTTGGGCCCACTAGGTCACATCACAGGGACAAAGATATGCATCCTTTTTTTAATTCAATATTTTTCCCCTAACACATCATCACTTCATCTACGTTCATGATTTTCTTGAGAACTTTTCACCCAAAAGCGAAAAAGCAAGAAGAAACAAAAATAATAATGAGCACCAAAATCGCTGAAAGTTTCTGTACCCGCCACAACCCCCACAAGCAGTGGCTGACCCTTCCTGCAACCAACGCATGTACAGCGCAGGCCTCAGAGATGTCCGGAGGAGTGAAGGTTTAAACATCATCAAGCACGCATACTCATCATGAGCAAGGGGTTGAAATCTCTAAACAACACATTCTTTCTTTCCGCAGGGAATGATTTCCAATTTTCCACCCCTGACATCGGGCTGGAGCATCAGAAACTCTATAATTAACATTCACCGGACGAACCCATGGAGTCGCCACGCCAACCACGCACAGTGCAAAGCAGATCGAAAAGCCAGACGACATCCATCCCACACCACGCGGACAAGATTTTCATTCGACATTTCGGCTTGAAAGAATTTACTTAATTTACAAAATCCTCATCCAAACCCGTGGATTCGCCAAGCCAGCCACGCACACTGCAAAGCAGATCGAAAAGCCAGACGACATCCATCCCACACCACGCAGACAAGAATTTCATTCAACGTTTCAGCTTGAAAGAATTTACTTAATTTACAAATTCCTGATCTGAACCCCTGGATTCGCCAAGCCAGCCATGCACACACTGCAAAGCAGATCAGAAAGCCAGACGACATCCATCCCACACCGCGCTGACAAGAATTCCATTCGACGTTTCAGCTTGAAAGAATTTACTTAGTTAATTTACAAATTCCTGATCCGCACAATTGTCACTGACATTAGAACCACCGCAAAAAAAAAAAAAAAAAAAAAAAAAAAAAAAAAAACCAGACAAAAAAAAAAAAAAAAAAAAAAAAAAAAAAAAAACAGGCATCCCAAGTGCGCCGAGCAGTGGCAAACCATAACCGTAACCCCACTCGTCATATGGAAAAGAGAAACTTTTACATGGAAGGCCTGAATGAGAAAGGAGGAAATGTGCTGCAGCAGAAGACCACTAGTGGGAAATGCAGGCAGGAGAAGAGCTGGTGCAAGCACACTTTGTAAGGGATCAGACCCAGGGGCGTAACGCATAGAAAAAGGAACCCCTATTTCATCCGTGCACAGCACTGGATGGTGGTTTGTGATGGTACAGTATCAGTCTGAGGCCACAAACAGCAGCAGCAGGAATGACGGCGGGGGTAAAAGCAGCAGCAATAACAATAGCAGCAGTGACTGCACAGAGCCTCAATGGTGAGAACTGCAAGCAGACGGCTGCCACCCCGGGGAAAGGGAATGATGCAGAAGCACGATCACGATGCACACCGAGAAGGGAGGGGGAGGGTAGACACACAACCCATAGCAGTCACATAAGGATGAGCAAATAACCACGAGATTGCAAAACTGCCCCGGTTGCCAAGTACCATGACAGGACAGCATTCTTTTTTTTTTTTTTTTTTACTTTTAAGGCCCTTGTGCAAGGCGTTTATCCCAGTGGTGGTAAGAGAACCACCGGGATTGAGGCTTTGTCGACGGGCCGCTCCATCTATTGGTGGGGAGCATCACCTGCTGGAAACCGGGTCCGCCGTCCCTCGTAAGAAAAACATGAGATGAGTTGCGGAAGAACACAGGTGCTGGAAACCGGGTCCAGCATTCTACATCTCTTCCGGCGAAACCTTGAAGATGAAGAAAAAGCAAAGAGAGAAATGAGAGAAGCCAGAGGGGGCACAATCAAAAGTTAGGAGTAGCAAGCACTCACGAGATTGCAAAAACGCCAAGGATAACAAAGTACCCCGACAGAACCGTGTTCACGAGCTCCTTCGGCAAAAACTTGAAGAGAAGAAAGAGGGAAAGGAGAACGGCGCTACCAATGAATGGAAAACGCATCGCGTGCTCCTTCGACATAGACTCCTGAGCAACAAGGAAAAAGCCCAAACAACAACAGCCATTACAGATTTCATTAATTGAAGTATTTTGCCTATTACCTATTGCTGTTCTGCCACAGGTAATGGAAAGAAAATGGACACAGTGCATATGAACGAAGTGGTTGATTTCTGGCAGGAAGCGAAAGGAAGGGGGGGGAAGGGGGGGGGGGGGGGGGGGGGGGGGGGGGGGGGGGGGGGGGGGGGGGAGGAAGGGGAGCCTTGATGGTTTGTCGCTTTCCCAGTCTGTGTAAGCCCAAAATGGAACTCCATGACAATCCATTGCTCACCTTATCGCGAAACGCTGGTGCCAAAGAACAGGATTTATGCTCCGGCTTCAACCGCCTCGAATCCTGTCAACAGTTTTGGTGGCCATGACCGATCGTAGCTGTCACATGCCTAGTGAGCAGGTGCATCTGCAGCTCCTCCACATTTACCCACCCCCTTCTCCCTCTACCACTCGCCACAAACCTCTTCCCCCGGCAAAAACGACACGCACCCTAACATCATGACTCTATTGGAGAAAGACAGACATATATATATCGTCAAATAGAACTGCCCGGTAAACCGTAGGCAGAGAGGGAGAAGAGGACAACAAACGAGGGGCTGTGACAAACTGTTTCGTCGGAGTTTCACCGACTCATCAGGAGGTATATATTCCCCACAATGGTGTGTTATGTTGAGGGGAAAGGGAAAAAGTTACGTGTTCCCCATACCGAGTGTGGCTCCTCACAAAGACACCATACTACCAATACCAAAAGACAGAAAGACACCCCTCTTGAGGTTGAAGGATTTGCCTTCATGATTTGATGTGCACTGCCCAGACGAGGTAGGCAATTCACAGTTCCCCCCATCTGGAATTAAGAGACTGCTGAAAACGTCAGTGAGAGGAACGATTTTGATGGAACATGGTCATCATTCTGTTCTAGGAAAGGAACTACCAGACTTCTGCCATTATTATTATACTTTTTAACTCATAATAATAGTATAATAATCACACCCTGTCACTTACTTGTGCCCACAAGTGACAGGGTGTGATTATGATCACACCAGAACATGTATTGTATCGACAAGTATCCGGTTCATCATACACGGTGCACTTCCGAAAGGAGGGACTGAGCCACGTAGCTAAATGCTTGCTTCAAAGGTGTGGGCACTCATCGCAAATCAAGTTAAGAGTGCCTGATGGCAGCCGACCCTCAGCACTTTACAGCTGTCACCGATCTTCCTGACGGCATTCATCAGCATTCCCCACAGCATTCATGAAAGATTTGTCCGTCCCGTAGTGAAGATTACATTGGTAGGCAGGTTTGCATCCCTGCCGACCGCCGACCGTATTGCAGCCGATCAGTAGGGCCAACCGGTCGGCGGTCTGCCAGCAAGTCAGAGAAAAAAAAAAAAAATTCAGTGATTTTTTTTCAAATCTGAGTCGGGGGCTGTACTACATTTGCTGAGTACAGCCCAAATCCGCTGAGAAACTTTTGGGGATGGGGGGGGGTTGAAATATAGGGGGAGTATAGGGGTGATATAGGGGCTATTGGGGGGGTTAATGAGCGTGTAGGGGGGGGGTTGGGGGTGTTGGGGGGGTGTATGGGGTATTTGGGGCCGCTATGGGGGTGGTGGTGGTGTTATTAGGGGTTCTGGACCCCTTTCTTTTTTTTTCTTTTTTTTTTTGCGGGGTGCCGACGACCACCGACCAGTAGGTGCTGACCAGCCGATCGGTCGACGGGTCAGCAGCCAACCAGTCAAGGGCCACCGACTGTCGGAGGGTGCAACCCTGTTGGTAGGAATATAAGCAGATACATCTCCAGTCTGTGTTTCGCTAACATGTAAAGCAGACAGACTACTTGCACCAGCTTGCTCTTTCTAATAAGAGAGAATGTAGATGAACTGTCGCTAACGGCATTGGCTTGGCAGCCAGGGGGAAACACAATAAGATCAGCCAGCCTTCTGTCTCCGAGTTTCTGTTTTGGTTCAGGATATTAAACCACCAGTACTTGGGCACTGCGCGCCGCGCCGGCCGCCCAAATCTCGAAGCAGCGCGGGCTGTCGATTCGATTTATGGACGGCCCGCCGGCCATGGAAATCGCGTAGCGTTAACGCTAAGGCGTCGCCCAAGTACTGGTGGTTTAACCAACCATTTCCAGGACGGTTCTCCAATAAGGGTCCGTGCTAAGCATCATTATGGACGAACAAGGAGTTGCCTCTCTCGTCCTATTATGGCCGTAGACTCAGCCAGTCCTAGCCGCTTTGGCTTTTCTTTCCCGGAATTCGTAAAGTTGTTTGAGACATGATGGGTTGCAGAATCTTTTCTTTGATTTTATTTCATTATATTCCTGGGGAGAAGGGGGGGGGGGGGGGGGGGGGGGTGGCGCGCGGGAGAGAGAGAGAGAGAGAGAGGGGGGGAGGGGAAGGGGTAGAATCCGTTCCGTTGTTCTACATGACATTTGTTAGCCTGTCTATTCGCTGAGAATATATAGAAAGTTAGAAACAATTTTCGTCGTTAGTTTACTGTGCCAGGTAAAAGGCCTTCCTTGGCAGTCCTTTGAAAATGAAGAATTGTATAACTTCTTTCTTTTCTTTCTAGTATAATACTCGTACATAGAACCCATACAGTTTTTTTTTTCCCGAACTCATACAGTGGACTCAGTCTCCAAGGAAGAACGGGTTATGTCTAAACAAGTAAAACGGCCGGGGCCGAACTGCTATCCTGCTGTCAATTTCAACAGAAAGGTGGGTGGGTATATACACACATGCAATGGTGTGGCTCTCAGGTTGGCAATCGGATGAAGCACAATTTCTTGCAGATAACAGGAAACCTGCCTACCGTCCTCACCCGAATAGAACTCCCGGTCATTATAGCTGTATTTGGGGCAACTTTCAGACCAGATGCAGCAATAATGACCAGGCGTTTTATTCGGGCGAAGCCTCCCTAGCTCCTACCTCTTCCCAGAATAGAACGTAAAAAGTCCTTATTGCTGAAAGTTGCCCGAAAAATATACAGCTATAACGACTATATTCGTTCTATTTGGGTGAAGAAGGTAGGCGGCCATTTCAAAACATTGCCCATCTTGAACAGTCCTGCCAAGGGCACATTTCCCGGCGATGGCAGCTTGCTCTTTGTGAGGAGACTATTTTTGGAATTGGCACTGTGCAATCAATAAAAGTTAACTGACATCATCGTGGGGATAGGATTTTCATCATTTGAAGAAAAAAAAGAAGACCATGTAGTAACAAATGAACGTTTTCCCCGTCTTCAGGAAATCCATCAAACCACCAGTCCCTTTGGGCAACATTTTTCCTACTCCGGAAGTGCCAACACGCGCCAAAGAAAAGACACAGCCGCATGGTCCTCCTTCCAGCTGGCGCGGCCAGACATTTTTGTCCGGTAAGCCGAGGCGCGAAACTTGCAGCGCGTTAATGGCCGCATCGGAGAAAAATGGCTGGAAGAAGTACAGGTGGTTTAAAAAAAATGCTACAATGCAGAGAAGATTAGCATGCTCCCCGCACAAGGGCACACACAAATCGAGAAAGGGTCCGAATTGAAAAGAAAAAGAGAAAAAAAAAGTGAATTTCAGAGAAAAAGAACAAAAAATTCAAAATTCAAGCTTAATTAACCTTTCCCCCAATGATGGTCACAACGTTAATATAACAGATCACCACGTTATAAGTATATTATAACAGAAAAAGAAATAACCTTTTTCCCAATGATCAAATGGTGGTTTTAATATAACGAATCCACCGAATCAAATTGAAACCTTAACGCATTACAATGTTAATCTAACCAATCAAGACGTCAAGGTAACAGACCACAACATTCACTAATGCAAGTTATGCAACAGATCACATCATTAACTAACATAACAAGATCACAATGTTAATTCATGAAAGACATCACAACATTGATCAATGGATGACAGATCACAACATAAAACAACGTAATCGATGACAACAGTAATTAAGGCAACAGAAAACAGACCATAACATTCATTAACGTAACAGATCGCAACTTAATAAATACGAATCACAAAGTTAGCATGCGAACGCCTTCAGTTATACACGATCACAATTTTGGTGGTGTGATTATTTTCTCAACCGAATCTGGCCTTGTCTAGGGTCAGATGCATTCAAGAAAATCCGCAAAACGGTTGTGCGAGTATGTCCAAAGACCTCAGTTTGTCACCCACCCACCCCCACCTCCTTCCGGTCTGTGAGAGAAACCCACATAAAGGAATGACCTCAATCCATAACCAGCGGCCAAGCCTCCTGAGACTTACTGAGATAGAAGTCACAGAGTTGGCTGATTTCTTCGGCTTGTGAAAAAAAAAAAAAAAAAAAAAAAAAAGTTGACATCAACACTAGGGAATTCATTATAACGTCAGCATTAAAAGAGACAAGAGTTCCCTTCATCTCACCCAGCCCTGGCAAGCTTGCAGCAGTTTAAGAGTTCTGCTCCGCTTGGCTTGGCTGGACTCCGTTACAGACAGGGCCCCTGGGAGGCAAAGAGCATAAAGAGGAGATCTGCAGAGATCCGGACAGATCTGCAGAGATTGGCAGAAGCTTAAGAGTTTGGGCCTCGTCGCACAGCACACGAAACAAAAAAACAAAAAAAAACAAAAACGAGTGCATTTTTCCACAGAATCTAGAACGATTCATCCGTTACTATGAATAGTAATGAAGGTATCTGCTCACCTTCTGTGGGCAGGTGCACTCGTTTTTCTTTCGTCTTTCTTCTCGTGTACCGTGTGGCGAGGCATTCGGTATCATGTGGCTGGCTAAGCAAACAAAAGGATGCTCGTCGGTTATAGTACCGAAGCTGCTAAGAGGGATCATCATTTCTCGCTTTTTTTCCGCTTTTCTTTTCCTTTTTTTCCCTTTTTTTTCCCTTTTTTTCCCTTTTTTTTCCTTTTTTTTTTTTTTATGCGTGTCAGCTTTGCCCGAGGTCCCTGCTCATCTTCTCTCCCCGTGTCGTTCTAACTTGTACAGATGTCCCGTTGAACGGTTCGTGCTCTATGCTTCTGCTGTGTCCGAAAACACGCTTGGCTTGTAGAGGAGGAAAGCGAATGGTGTTTCCATTGTGCAAACTTGTAGAGGAGGAGCTTGTAGAGGAGGAGGTGGTTTATTGGGAGCGCGAATGGGGTTTTCATTGTGCTTAAGCATGTGGCCAAGCACATCAACCAGAATCTCGCACGCCGCCCATCTCTGCCTCGACAAGCGTCCAAAGCCTGTGCGGACGTTGCCCTGCCTATTATGTTTCAGCAGACCGGTCGTGCAGAAACCAGTTCACAGCACAAGCGT